ACGGCGCCTGCTGCTCTTCCTGTCGCTGGCCGACCTGCTCTCGGCCGCCTCCTACTTCTACGGAGTGCTGCAGGACTTCGCGGGCCCGTCGTGGGACTGCGTGCTGCAGGGCGCGCTGTCCACCTTCGCCAACACCAGCTCCTTCTTCTGGACCGTAGCCATTGCGTTCTACCTGTATCTCAGCATCGTCCGCGCCTCGCGCGGGCCCCGCACAGACCGCCTGCTTTGGGCCTTCCATGTCGTGAGGTGGGTGGCGGTGGCGCTGCTTTTCCAGTAGCCCCCGACACGGGCCGACCCCTCCCGGTCTTGCCCTCCCAGAGGCCGCGTCTAGTTTGGACCCCCCTACCCACAGCGAGCAGTGCCTGCTGGCGCCCCCGGGGCAGCCCTGGGCCAGCGGGAGGAGGCCAGACTTACCCGAGATTCGCTCCCGAGGGAGCTCCTCTGTGCCTGCCCCAGGGCACAGCCACTTGGGGTAGTGGGGTCAGAGTTCGCCCCCAGAGCCAGGCCCTGTTTCCTTGGACGGGGCAGGGGAGGACACTCTGAGCCCCTTGTGACCTGCTTCACTATGTCCTGGCCATCTCTGCTGCCCATGGGGAAACAGGCTGGGAGACGAGTTGGGTAACTGTCCCGGGCTGGAGAGCCGGCAACTCCTAGTCACACCTCACCACCCCACCCCAAGCCACAGTGAGCTTGGTGCACTCCGCCACTCCCAAGCTGCCCTGTCTCTGCTGTACAGTTTACAAAGGACTGTCCTTTTTATTCTGTCTTTGGTCGTTTCTAAACTCAGGCCCCAGCCCCTTGTGTTTCTGTTCTTGGTGATCTTGACTTTCCAGAGTTCAGTTATTCTGAGATTGAGGTCGGGGGCGGAGGGCTGGTCTGGGAGTCTCGGAGTCCTCCTGGAGGCTCTCTGAGAGTGGGGAAGAGCCGAGACCTTACTCTGCGGTTCAAGCATCTTTCACATAAGCCTCGCTGAAGAATGTCAGGTTTTGAAAATCTCTGGGGAATGTCAGGCCCTTCCCTGGGGAATGTCAGGTTTTGAAAATCTCCTGGCGTCCTGTGCTGAACTGTGGGCAGGAATCCTAGGGGCTGTTTTCCTTTTCTCCTTCTCCCAGATCAGAGCACCAGATACTGCCCTAATTATAGGTCCTTTCTATTAAAAACTTAAGTGCCTTCCAAGGACTGCGAGCACAGTCAGCACTTTGGCAGAGACAGGTCACCTGGGTGTCACACGGTGAGGCTACAGGGCTGTAAGAGTCGCTTGACCTTCAGTTGTGCACTGAGGCCGGCTGGTTCTTGAGAAACGAAGTGACCTACTTCTCAGCTATGCAAGTAAAAACTCTTTGCAACACATCATTCAAACTGTGGCTCAAATGCTACAGGGCCCCGCCTTGCTTTCCCGGCAGCATCCCGTCTGACACTGTCTGGGTCCCGTGATGACTTGGCTGGGTGTGGGCAGCGAGTACTCGGGAGATCGCGTGTACTTGAAAGGAGTCGAGGCTGTACCTATCTTTGCAAGAACCTGTTCTCTTTCCCTTCTTGTCTTTAAAAATATTCAACATAGTATATTTTTTAAACGATAACAGAACCTGGTCCAGCTTCTGTGGAAAAGAAGGATTGCCCAACAAACCTGAGTTGGGGGTTTTTCTGTTTGGTTCTCATTAGGGACCCTCTGGGGGGTTTTCTGTGTTGTTCAGGAAGAGCTTCTTTGATAAAGAAGTAGGCCCAGGGTGGTGGCTTGTACCCGTAATCCCAACACTTTGCGAGGCTGAGGCAGGAGGATCGCTTGAGCCCAAGAGTTCAATTGGCCAACATAGTGAGGCTTTGTCTCTACTAAAAATTTAAAAACTAGCTGGGCATGGTGACGCATGCCTGTAGTTCCAGCTACTTGTGAGGCTGAGGTGGGAGGATCGCTTGAGCCTGGGAGGTCGAGGCTATGGTGAGCTATGACTGCAGACAGAGCAACACCCTGTCTCAAACAAGAAAGAAAAAAAAAAAAGAGAAAAAAGAAAAGAAAAGCAACTTATTCATCTTGTCTGTTGAATGTGGCCTGCCTGCCTCTTAAAAGAAAATAAAATTACCTGTATCCAAACTAGAGAGGGAGTTTGACAATTTATTCTCTGGCATTCTCAGCATTCAGACTTCGCTAGTCTAAGGGAATTGGTTAAACCTGTCTAACAGGTTCATCTGTTGACCTAGATCTTCCTAGACTGTATTGCCAATGACCTTACTAAGGACTCTCCAATGTATTTCCAGTAAAATTTCTTTGGAATATTAGTTTATTGTTTGCAGGATCTATTGATGTGAGAAATACCACCTTCAGGCATAGATACGTGATTATCCACTTTTTAACCATTTCATACTGCTGGAATTCAGTCCTCTTCAAAGCTTTCAGTTTTGGAAAGTATTTTAAAATATGACAACACAAAAGTTGATATCCCTATTCTAATGTGCGTTTAGGAATTCAATTTTTTTAAACCCACAAATATCCTGAAAAATGGACAAAAGACATACTCAAGCAAAATAGTAACAGCAGTTGATAAATATATATCATATACCATTAATACTCAAAGCAGTGTAAGTTATAACAATAAGGTACCATTTCCTCATTTAATTAGGAGGAAAAAAATAGTAAGGCAGGGCTGGGCGTGGTGGCTCATGCCTGTAAATCCCAGCACTTTGGGAGACCAAAATGGGCGGATCATTTGAGGTTAGGAGTTTGAGACCAGCCTGGCCAGCATGGGGAAACCCCATCTCTACTAAAATTGCAAAAATTAGCCAGGCATGGTGATGCATGCCTGTAGTCCCAACTACTCAGGAAGCTGAGGCAGGAGAGTCGCTTGAACCTGGGAAGTGGAGGTTGCAGTGAGCCACAGTCGTGCCACTGCACTCCAGCCTGGGTGGTAGAGCGAGTCTCCATATCAAAAAAAAGTAAGGCAGAATGCAAACATGATAAATGCCAGTTTCACTGGCATTTTTCTACAGTATTATTGATGGTGTGAATTGAAATAGTCTTTGTAGAAAGTATTTGGTTCATACCCCTTGATCCAGTAATCCTATTTACCAGAGCCTAGTCTAAGGAGGTAATCTAAAATATGTACAAAGCTGCTTGTGAGGCACTTATCATGGTGAGAATTTGGAAGTAACTTCAATGTCCAGCAGTGGGGGAACAGGAAGTTAAGCGTCTGCCCTCCCCTTCTGAAATGGTGTGCAGCTCTTAGATACTGGTTTTGAATTCTGTAAGTCTTTTTTTTTAATGATACAATACAATGCGAAGTGACAGAAACCATTGCTAAAACTGATTACAGTCACACAAAGGCAGGAGGTTAGAGAAAATCCTGCACACGCACAAGTTCCTAGGAGAGCACCTGCGTGGCCACCTGGGGCCCCATCATTATACTTACCGTGGCCCCCTTTCCAGAGAGAGGAGGCAGTTTAGACCTCATCCTCAGGAAACCATATTTCAGCATGAGCTGTGTCTGGCCCCTGATGTTTGCAGAGTGCTGTTCCATTCATTAGTCCACTAATCACCAATAACCCAACAGGGCCAGGGGTGGTAGCTCACACCTGTAATCCCAGCACTTTGGGAGGCTGAGGCAGGAGGATCACTTGAGCCCAGAAGGTTGAGGCTGCAGTGAGCTGAGACCACCACTGCACTCCAGTTGGAGTGACAGAGTGAGACCCTGTCTCAAAAAAAAAAAAAAAAGAAAAAGAAAAAAAAGTAACCCAACAGAATGGATGAGTGGGGCGATTACCCTCATAGCAGATGTGATGGCCCAGAGCTACATAGCTGGTAAGGGAGAGGCTCAGGGTTAGAATCTACTTCTGACCCAGCCCAAGACTCCTTTTAGGAGTCTGTGTTGTCTTTTGGCTGTAACAGTTTTTAAAAACTGAAATACCATTTCAACAATAATTTATTTTTAGGCTGGGCGCGGTGGCTCACACCAGTAGTCCCAGCAGTGTGGGAGGCCAAGGTGGATGGATTACTTGAGCCCAGGAATTTGAGACCAGCCTGGGCAACATGGCAAAATCCTGTCTCTACAAAAAATTTAAAAAATTAGCGGAGCGTGGTAGTGTGCGGCTGTAGTCCCAGCTCCTCAGGAGGCTGAGATGAGAGGATCGCTTGAGCCGAGGAGGTAGAGGTTACAGTGAGCTGAGAGTGCGCCACTGTACTCCAGCCTGGTGACAGAGCAAGACCCTATCTCAAAAAAATTTAAAAATTATTTTTAGTTTTCTAGATTTCCTAAATGTTAACATTTTACCATATCAGCTTTATCCTCTCCAGTTACTTTTTTCTGAAACCATTTAAGAGTAAGTGACAGGGCCTGGGTGCAGTGGTTTAATCCCAGCATTTTGGGAACCCAAGGTGGGAAGATCACTTGAGGCCAGGAGACCAGCCTGGCCAGTATACTGAGACCCTGCCTCTACAAAAAAAAGGAGAGAGAGAAAAAATTTAAACATAGAATAAGAGTGACATACTCAATACTTCAGTATTATTTCCAGAAGACAAGCACAATCTCTTACTGAACCGCAGGCATCTACCCAAGCAGGAAATTAATACTGAACAATACTGTTACCTGATTGGTGGACTTTATTGATAT